CAAATGTAATGGAAAAAAAAAAAAGGTTATCTACTTGTCAATAGATGACTGATGAATGAAATTATGACACATACAAAACATAGAATTCTACAGTTATTTTAAAAGAATGACATTCACAAAGACATTTCTTAGAAATATTATGGGAGAAAGAGCAAATAAGGAAGATGACATCATTTATATACATTTGAAATGTGGGGTGAGGAGGTGGGGTATATATCCACAGGCACACATAACCTTAAGTATTTTTCATATATAAAAGACAAGTGGTTAGTTTTGGAGGACCTAGATGGAGAAAGACAGAATAAAGCAATTTTTATGTTTTTCTGAACTCTCGGAAGGTTATACTCATGTCCCTTGATTCCCCCTTCCCCCCCTTCCCCCCCCCTCCCCCGCAAGGCTCAGGATTGAACCAGGGGCCTCTGTCATGCTAGGCAGGCCCTCGACCACTGAGCTATATCCCCAGACCACCCCCTCAACCTTGTTTTTGGAAGATGCTATTCATGAAGTAAAGTTGATTCTCAGATAGCTAATGTAATATGCAATCAAAAACAGGAGAGACTTCCTTTCCTTCTGGCCTTGCCCAGTATGAATAATAGAAAGTTTACATTGATTTTCCTCTGTGTCAAAACCCTGGGACTGCAGTTCTCTTCCATGGGGTATTTTCTGGCTATTGTAGTTAGGTTCCAAGAAGTATCTGCTACAGTGAGAAATCTTGCTGACTGGCATATTAATTTTCCCCTCAAACTAAAGTCATGTGTAGCAATTAGAGTCCATCTAGCTTGGGTAAGCTCTGCACAAACATGAGGATATTCTTAGCTTCATTCTCTTGTTCACTGGACTCAAGGGCAGAGATGCTGATATTTGTAAAATGGAAGAATGGATGATAAAGAAGTGGAAGGATGTAAAGAGGGATAGGAGAACAGAAGAAGTGTCTTCCTGGTCAGATAAGCAGATTCTTCTCCTGCCTGGCCCTCGAGGCAGCACCCTCACTTTATATGCTACCAGTCAACCAGGCAGATGCTGAAGCTGCTCTTTTTCGGCTTTCTCTTATTCTTTTGGAACCTGCTTCTAAACATCTTGGACTGTCCTGAGAGACAATTGCTCTGAGAAGCCCCCAGCATGTACACCAAAGCCCAGTTTCTTTTATTCATATTCATTTCCCTAATTTTCTACTTCTGAGCACAGAGTTTGACACAAAGTCCTGTTTGTTCTTTTGTTCCCTTTTGACCAACATTTGGCTTAAACAATCCAGCATTTGACTCATTGTTAGTATCTTTCCACAAATGTACTGAGTGACTGGATGCCCAGCACCAAAGTAGGACTTGGGCCTAAGTTTTTAACCTTACATCTAAATTTTATCTACATAATAAACAACTTGTCTACTGTAGACCTTTGTTCCCACTCGTCAGCCAGGAAAACTAGAGAGGTACAGAGGCATTTGAAAAGGCTCATTTTGGAACTGGATATAATTTATTAACTGGATTAATAAAAGTACAATTTACTATGATGTTTACTATATTTCTTAGAATGAGAAGTCCATACATTAAAGATTGGAACTCTAGTAATAGATAAAGGTAACAAACATGTCACTTTGACAGGGGGCACTTACATGGTCCCAAGGGCATTTGAGAGAGGTAGAATTGACCTTCAGAACCATTTGTGGTATCTCAACCCTACCTGCAGAAATGATGTAAAAAGGTCACATAAAATTTACCTTGAGCATCAGATATCTCTTAATTATTTTTGAAATGACAACATTGCTTTACATGGAGCCACTATCACATMACCTTTATAAATTGATGATATCTTTTTTCCTCATGTGAAAATGTGGCTGTGAGTTTATCAGCTGCTAAAATTTGAACATATTCAAATTTACAAACAATGGGAAAAGTCTTAAGTCCTCAGCCCTAACACTCCACTGCGACCATCAGGGGCACCTGCACAGACACACTGGGGCTATCAGAGCTTCCTGCCATCACTTACGTCATGTAGGTGAAAAACGTGCTGAGAGGCTCCAAGGAATGATTCCGGAAATAGTCAAATTCTCCACACAGCTTTTTCCTCATCTCGGTGTCAATTTTGGAAACAGTAAGAGGATTTGTTTGATTAGCCAAGAAATTACCATAATCAGTGGTTTGAAGATGAATTTTCAGATCTGAAATGAAAAGAGATCACAAATCAAGTTAAATTTTCAGCATGCATAAATAGCTTTTTCAACATTAATTGAACGTGTAGTAACTTTAAGGTAAAGACACTTAGTGTCTTACTAGATTTCAATATAACGTCTATWTGTTATTTAAACTTGCATGTTGATCTCTGAAGCCAGTAAAAATTCAGTGTAAATATGCGTATTCTAGCACACCAAAAATTTTTCCAATTATCTCAGAAATCTGGTATTTTTTCACAGAGCTAGAAAGAAAGAACGACAGACACCTAGCAGAGATGGTTTTATCTGAGCCAGTTYTAGTCATTTTGAAGTAGCAGTTTGGGAAACTGTTGAGTGGATACTAAGTCTCTGTCCCAAATTGACAGAAAAGAAAAATGTATTAGTAATCACACCCATGGAGTGGCAGCCATCACTGCCCCATTTCAACTCCTTTCATTATAAATAAAGAACCCAAAGCTCAGTATGGCTAAATGGCTAAATACTGGAGTTATTTAATGGCTGAAGTAGGACAGRAGATGATACTTCTGTTAAAAATCCAACATATCCAACATCATGTCCACCAGACTATGCCGCGCATTCTTTAAATGTCAGTGGTTTGGGTTATTAGATGATTGAATTAAATTCCAGCTTCTTCTTTTTTGGGGGGCAGCGGGTACTGGAGATTGAACTCAGAGGCATTCAAGCACTGAGCCATATCCTCAGCCCCATTTTGTATTTTTATTTAAAGACAGGGTCTCACTGAGTTGCTTAGTGCCTTGCTCTTGCTGTGGCTGGCTTTGAAGAGATCCTCCTGCCTCAGTCTCCTGAGTAGCTGGGATTACAAACTGTGACGGCACCTAGCTAAATTCCAGCTTCTTTTATTGTCATTTCCTTCTGAGAAAACTCCACCCCTCAAACCCAGTGCTGGGGCTAGAACCCAGGGCTAATGGTATCTCCATTAATATGTAATTTTGATGCATCAGTTAAAAAAATACTTATACATAAAAAAGAAGAAACTATGCTATATAAGATAAATATATACAATTTTTAATGCCAAATTTTATAAAAGGTGGTAGAAAAGGAGAGGAAAGATGAAGTAAACACTGGAGCATCCTGGAGGGCTTGGTATCTGTATCCTGGGAAAAAGAGGGAGCCACTGTGGTCTATGAATTGATAGCCTTGGGGGAGGGTGGATCTGTCATTAGGCAAGATGTAGTTCTTGAGTGGCTGAGATACAGGGTATGGGGCCATTCTTCTTTGGCATTCCAAGTAGATTTGGCATTGAAAGGCTCTTTTATTTGCTTGATTATATAATTAATGAATTCACTTAAAAACRTTATGCTTTTTTTGTGTGTGTGTGTGCCTTGTTTCACTTTTATTTTGGCAGTTCAGATTTTTAAGTAATTTGACAGTTTGCATTCTCAGCACCAAGGAATATTTGCCAACAGAAGTGACACAAATGGTATTTCTTTCAAAACCAYGATATTTTGCTCGGTGACATATGTTTCTTCTAAGCTAAGCAACTTTCAAACCTCTCAGTTGCCAGAGAGATGCTGAAGTTTAATGTCTCCAGTGTTTCAGGCCCTGTAGGAACTGTGGAATCAGGAGTCAGTGGAGAGGCAGGTAGACTACAAGACACCCTCTTCCCAGCTCCAAAGTAATCCAAGGGAAYTCACATGTGGATTCTAAGGAAACCCTAGGATATGAAATGTTTGCTCCGAGATGATGGTAGATTACTACTAATAAAAACAACAGTGCTCATAGATTTATAATTTTCAAAATTGGTTCACTTAATTTTTTTCCCCTGCATTTCTTTAAATGCAGTATCTAAGTAGGGATGTCAGTAATAAGACTTTGTGGTCAAATAAGTTTGGAATAAATAGGCTTCTTTATTTCAGGAATTGAAAGACTATAAGTATATGTGTGCCTGCATGCTTATACATGGGTAGAATGTAAAAAAGTGTCCTCTAAGAGTTGCCGTTGCCTAGTTAAAGGAACTGAGATCACTTGACTAGTCAATGAGTCAGGACAGGGAAGTGAGACATCATGATCACCTTCTATTAATTTGTTGGCAGATCATTTTTAGAGTAGTATTTTTTTTTCCAAGTAGTGTCCTGCTTTGGCCTGAATGAATGTCCAGCCTGGTGTAGTGGTGAACACCTCTAATGGCAGTTACTGAGGATACTAAGGCAGGACAATTGCAAGTTTGAGACCAGCCTGGGTAACTTTGCCAGTTAAATTAAAAAAAAAAAAGAAAAGAAAAGAAAAGAAAGAAAATGAAATTTAAAAGGGGCTGATCACAGAACTCAGTGGTAGAGCCCTGCTGGGTCCTGCTCCATATAGTGACCAAGAAAGTGTGTGTCTGACCTTCCACTYTACAGGTAAGGCTATGTCAAGGAAGCACATTAGAGGTGCTTGTCCAAGATGCTATCACCAAGTGGCCCCCGTCCATTCTCGCCTCCTGCTGGTGCTGAATTTATGGAAGTTATCTGACCTTTCATTTTTCTTTTCTATCACTGAGTTGTACCCCCAGTCTCTCTCTTTTTTTTTTTTTTAAGTTGGAGATGGACACAATACCTTTATTTTATTTATTTATTTTTATGTGGTGCTGAGATCAAACCCAGTGCCTCACATATGCTAGGCAAGCGCTCTACCACTGACCTACAACTCCAGCACCACCCCCATCAAGACCCTCTATCTCATATTTTACTATGAGAGAGGGTCTTGCTAAGTTATAGGACAATTTGGCCTAGAACTTGCCACCCTCCTGCCTCAGCCTCCCAAGTAGCTGGGATTACAGGCCTATGCCACTGCACACTATGTTTCTGAACTCTGTTTCCTCGCCTACAAAATGGATATAGAGGGCTGGGGACATAGCTCAGTGGTAGGATACTTGCCTAACATGCTCAATTTGATCCCCAGCACCACATATACACAAAGTATACTGAGTATCAAATCTATGCTTGCAGGCTATATCACGGATTAGAATAAGTAAGATGACAGTCCTTTCTTAGTCCCCAGCTCCAAATAATAATAATAGTATCAGCAGCAG